CCCCCCCCCCCCCGTGTCCAGACGTGGCGAGGCTCGTGATCCCGCGCCACTCCTTCTCTTCCTCCTCCTCCTCCTTCTCTTCCTATTCCTCCCCTCTCCTCTTCTTCTCCTCCTTCCTTTTCTTCCCTTTCTTGGCCTCTTCTCCTCCTTGGCAACGCTGCAGGTCTGGAGAGCAGCCAAGGGACGGCGCCACAGCGTTGCCAGCGCCCGCGAAAGACCTGCAAAATTCTCATAAGAAAGAGAGAGGAAAATGGTGGGCGTGAGAACCGTCTCGGTCGTCCTTCGTGTCTGGTGCGTGGCGGGGGTCGCGCGGCGTCTATTTTGTGTGGGGCGCTCGCATAGGGCGGTTTTCCTTTTCTTTTTTTTGTCTTTTTTCTAGGATGTCTTCTTTCGGTTTCATGGCTGTCTCTTTATCTTCATTCGGGAGTCGTCTTTGCCTTCTAACACGACTAGCGTATAAAACTGTATTTGTATATATATATATATATATATATATATATATATATATATATAGTAATATATTTATATATATATATGTATATATATATATATATATATATATATATATATATATATGTCTGTGTGTGTGGTGTGTGTGTTTGTGTGTGTGGTGTGTGTGTGTGTGTGTGTGTTGTGGTTGTGTGTGTGTGTGTGTGTGTGTGTGTGTGTGTGTATGTGTGTGGTGTGTGTGTGTGTGTGTTGGTGTGTGTGTGTGTATGTGCGTGTATGTGTGTGTACATGCCTGTATCTATTGTCTATGACAGTAATTTCGTCCAGTCCAATTCTCTTCTACGACAACATCCGTCCAAGTAACGCTGATCTTGAACGAAAACTTTTGGTGCATTTTTTCCCCAAAAAGACAAGTTCACATCTTTTATTTCACTCAGTCTCCAACATGTGGACGTGACTGGCTTCGTATGGTGACCAAGCTGGTGTGCAGCGACAGAGGGTGTTGTCACCATACAGTCAATGGGGATAGATCACCATATCTTAGGATGCGGTGACTGATATATCACTGTCAGCAACGACATATGGTGACTGAGATCGCACTACAAGATGCTGTATAGTGACTGATGGTTTAAAGCGACTGAATTATACAACCATTGATGGTGTAGTGTCTGGTAGCTCATAATCTTTGACGATGTATAGTGACTTGTATCTCACAGTCATTGTCTGTGTACAGTGACCACTATACACTACAGAAGGTGCTGTCAATTTTCTAAATGTGTATCGTGGCTGACAACACACAGTGCATAGTAGCGCTTGAAATGCGACTGATGTCATGCACTGGCTGACATCAACATATGTCTGAAGCGCTAATTAACTGATGTCAGTAACGTCCCACATCGGCTGACGCCCAGCCATGACGTCAGCGCGAGATACTGAAGGTCCGTCAGCAGGTAAACACACGAGTCATGTCATTGTCTGACGGCAGTGGCGGTCAGGTTGGGGGAGGGGCTAAGCAGAGGGGGGAGGGGCTAAGCAGAGGGGGAGAAGGGGCGTGATTGGTCAGGCGGGGGAGGAAGGGCGTGGCCAAACGGGGGATGAGGATGGAGGAGAGGTATGATTGGTTGGAAGGGGGAGGAGGGGGCGGGGTTTCGTGACGTCACGATCCAAGCAAGCAGCGTCATATGGAGGCCCCCTTTATTACTATCTTTAATTACTCTTTGTGTGTTCGTAAAACCAGTTTAAAACTTCACACAGTTGTAGTTGTTAATAAAAGTCATTAACCAGTTATATCGAAGGGAGAAAATAGCCCCAGTCTTATTAGCAGCAGTTAGGGTTTATTAAACTTTTTTTTTTTTTTTTTTAGTAAGTGCAGTGTGTCCAGCCCTGAGGTGTGGAGTCCAGTCAATCAAAGTCATGCACGGAAGTCCAGTCATGCAGAGTCAAAGAGAAGAAAAATTAACACACAGAATATATTCAACTTAGCCAATAATTACACTCTCTGCATTCTGTTCTAGAAAGTGTTATACACATCAATCATAAACCTTACTACGTATCAAAAGCTAAATTGAACTTAAAATTATAGATTTCTGTCAATTCAGAATCTAAATGGCAGTTAAAATTATATAGAATTAATCAACTTTGCTCTATATTCTAATACCTATGCTTACTGTTATTAAATCATTCCCGAATCCCCCAAATCAACCTTAATCAAGAGATATGATAAAAATAGAAATGAAACAATTAAAAGATGAAAAAAAATATATATATGATAAAAAAATAACCAGAATAAAATTACACTTCCTCTTTATCATAGCAAGGAGACCCTAATATTTATTTACTTATCATCTATATCACATATCTATTATTTCTATATCTATTCATTTTTATAGACTTAGCATGAAAGATAACTATCATTATTAAAAAAAAAAAAAAAAAAAAAAAAATGGAGAGGAATGACTAAGATGAAAAATTAAGGACACAGAAGACCACCTGTCAGCCACCTGTCCACTTCCCATGACCGGAATTTTCTCTCATCGAAATTCAGAATGAAACTCGCTTTACCGGAAGAAAAGAAAGATATAAAATAGTTTAATTAAAAAAATTAACTTCCTTCCGTCAGAATGGAGTATAATTTTTATTTTCTCTCAAAATTGCTTTGATGATTTTACTCTATTGGATATGATGAAATATGATGATACATTAAGGTCATATTTCGTGATTTTTTTTATCTAAATAAAATCAATAGTTCTGTGATTCCAATTCTATATTTTTTCATTATCAAAATCATATAATTTTCCCTCTCTTGTAAATAGGGAAAAAGAGTGAAAACCTATCATTCCTCTAGTAAAACCAAAAGAAAGAGAGAAAGAGAAGAACAAAAAAGTCCTTTCTCTCTCCCCCCTCCCCCTCCCTCCCCCCTAGCCTTCCACCACCCAACTCAAAATCTCACAAAAAAAAAAAAAATCCTAGAGTAAAAAAGAAGAATCCCAGAATAAAAAAAATATATATCCTGGTTAAAAAAAAGAATCCTAGAGTAAAAAAATCCTAGTTAATAAGGAATTCTATTTAAAAAAAATCCTGGTTTAAATCCTAGCGTTCAAAAAAGGAATCCTAGAGTTCAAAAAATAATCCTAGTTAAAAAGGAATCCTATTAAAAAAAATCTAGAGTTTAAGACCTAGCGTTCAAAAAGGAATCCTAGAGTTTAAAAAAAATCCTGTTGTTTAAATCCTAGAGTTAAATAAAAGAAAGAAAAAATCCTATAGTTAAAAAAAAAGGAGCAGATATCCTAGGTCCCAGAGTCCTTCCCAGGCACCACTGACCTGTACTCCACCAGGAACGGGAACAGGTAGGGCTGCGCGTCGGTCCAGAGCCGCCCCAGGGAGTTGTTCTGGAAGCAGGAGTACAGACGCAGGACCTGCTCGGCGTGGGGTGGCACCTCGCCAGGGGCACTGCGGGGGGGAGGGAGGGGGGCGGGGGTGGGTCAAGTCGTCTATTTACGCTTTTCTTATCATTTATCTATTTGTTTAGTCGTTTATGTATTTATCTTTTTTATTTAGTCCTTTATTTATCTTTGTATTTAGTAATATATTTATTTATCTTTTTATTTAGTAATTTATCTATTCATCTTTTTATTTAGTTAATCTATTTATCTTTTTATTTAGTAATTTATCTATTTATCTTTTTATTTAGTAATTTATCTATTCATCTTTTTTTTTAGTTAATCTATTTATCTTTATTCAGTCATTTATCTATTTATCTATCTATTTTTTGTTTATTGATCTATTTGTTACTTTATTTAATAATCATATATCTTATTTATTAATCACTTATTGATTTGCTTCATTTATTTTCATTTACATCATAGTCATTAACCAAAAAAAAAAAAAAAAAAAAAAAAAAAAAAAAAAAAAAAAACATCAATGAAAAAAAAAATAAAAATAAAATATATATAAAAAAAAACACTTACTGTCGAGCATGACTCAATGGAGTCAGTGGCCGACTCCAGACCACCATGCGGATCCAGATGGCGACGTTGGTGGCCACCAGGTGCATGAACCCGAACCGCGCCACCTGCCCGAACTTCTCCACGATCACCTGCCGCGGAGAGAAACGTAAGTGTCGGTCTGTTTTTAGGTCTGTGGGGGATTGTGTGTGTGGGGGGATGGTGGGATTGTGGGGGGGGGGGATTGTTGGTGCGTGTGTGGGATTGTGTGTGGGTGTGTGGGATTGTGTGTGGGTGTGTGGGACTGTGTGTGCGTGTGTGGGATTGTGTGTGTGTGTATGTGTATCTCAAATGTGCCCACATCCCGGATTTTGGACGTATCCCTTAAAAAATCCTAAATATGTCTGTATCCCTCAAAAAAAAAAAAAAAAAAAAATAAAAAAAACAATAATAATAATAAATAAAAGAATGTGTCCGTATCCTTCAAAAGAAGAAATAAGAAAAAATCCTGGATATGCCTGTATCCCTCAAAAAATCCTGAATACGTCGGTATCCCTCAAAATAGAAAAATAGAAAAATCTGAGTGCGTCCGTATCCCTCCAAAAGATCCTTGAACGCGTCCGTATCCCTCAAAAAGATCCTTGTAATGCGTCCGTATCCCTCAAAAAAGATCCTTGAACGCGTCCGTATCCCTCAAAAAAGATCCTTGAACGCGTCCGTATCCCTTTAAAAAGATCTGAACGCGTCCGTATCCCTCAAAAAAGATCCTGAACGCGTCCGTATCCCTCAAAAAGATCCTTGAATATGTCCGTATCCCTCAAAAAGATCCTGAACGCGTCGTATCCCTCGAAAAAGATCCTGAACGCGTCCGTATCCCTCAAAAAAAGATCTGAACGCGTCCGTATCCCTTTAAAAAGATCTGAACGCGTCCGTATCCCTCAAAAAAGATCCTTGAACGCGTCCGTATCCCTCAAAAAAGGTCCTGAACGCGTCCGTATCCCTCAAAAAAGGTCCTGAACGCGTCCGTATCCCTCAAAAAGACCTGAACGCGTCGTATCCCTCAAAAAGATCCTTGAATATGTCCGTATCCCCAAAAAAGATCCTTGAACACGTCCGTATCCCTCAAAAAAGATCCTGAACGCGTCCGTATCCCTCAAAAAGATCCTTGAATATGTCCGTATCCCTCAAAAAGATCCTGAACGCGTCCGTATCCCCCCTCAAAAAGATCCTGAATGCGTCCGTATCCCCCCCAAAAAAGATCCTTGGAACGCGTCCGTATCCCTCAAAAAAGATCCTGAACGCGTCCGCATCCCTCACCTCGGAGTTGACGAAGAGGAAGTGCATCTGCAGGAAGGTGAAGAGCGCCTGCAGGATCGGGTGGGCGAAGACGATGTCCTCCACGCACTCGCCCTTCATGGTGGAGTGCATAGCGATCTCGAGGCCGTTGAAGATGAGCGTTCCGAGGCCGAACACTGGAGGACGAGGTGGAGGAGGAACGGCGTCAGGTGAGGTGTAGATGTATGTGTAGATTAAGGAATGAAGAGACACACAAATAAATGACGGAATAAGAGCAAACGTAAGAGAGAGACAAATACACGTACAAACAGAA